CTTCCTTCCCTCCTTCTTTCCTGCTCTCCGTCCCTCCTTCCTTCCTTCCTTCCTTCCTTCCTTGTTTCCTTTCGTTTGGGTGGTTAAAATTTTTTGATCTTTATTTAATTTTTGTTGATCCTTCATTAACGCTTTTGACCCTTATCCGTGTGAGATGATGAAAATATGCAAAGAGACGTACACAAGCGTGGGCACTTCAATTTTGCCCCGCCTCTCGCAGTGGGGCCCTTTAGCACAATCGCGACGGACATAGCAAGGTGCTCATGTTCTGCCATGTGCTCCCCAATAGCTAGATAGTGCATCGAAACTACCGGAAACATCTTCGATATGTGTTCCTAGCAAACACCTTCGATGTTTAACTAGCCGCAACACCTTCGATGTTTATTACGACGGATGTTTAGCGCAGCATACACGGTCGTACCTCGTACCTCGGCACGACTGCGCACACCGTTCCCACGACCTCCCAGCAGGCACCACCGGAACATTGGGTAGTTGAGCTAAAGCTTTAGCTGACGCATGGGTGAGGAGTCGGCGTGCCAGGCTCGATGTCAGCCGAGTCGCCCAACACACGCCCGTCATAGGCACATCCTCCGGCGCGGTGGTAATCGGCGAGGACGGCGATGTAGTGCTGCCCACTATGTCGAGGCCGGCTGCCACCGCCAAGTCGGCCAAGGGCGGCCTGACCAGTCGGAGTGCCGGAGAATGCCATGATCGAAAGCGGCGAAGGGCGAAGCGAAGTACTGAAAAAGGCGGTTCGAGCCGATATACCGATGGTGCTTGTTCCTACTCACACACGTGTGCTACACTACATCTTTATTTAATAGAACGCCCCAGCCGTTTTTGTCACTATCTCGTTTATCAGCTCGCTATATTCTGGCAGAGTTATTTTGACTTCAGTTCTCAATACTGTAGAATACCCTTCCAGATTTCCGGCGTGAGTAACAACACCGCCTGTGAAATCTGTCCTTAACCATCGCCTGTTGAATTTATTCAAGGTCGTCAGTGGCATCAATGAATGTACATATTCCATTTATCAGATAAACAGTATTCTAATAGAAGATACCCCAAAGTGGAATCAACAGACATACCCGAATCCAAAAACAGAAACCGCAAGTATGACATGATGCTAAGGCTCCTTCTATATACCTTATAGAAGCCTAATCGAAGCTCTACATAACTCCCCACCTGTAGTTCTCTACCCGACTCTACCCCAGCGGGTCCAAGGTACCCTGATGAGGCCTTATGTTAGGTTGCTGGAGGAATTGTTGCATTGCACCTAAGCACCTAAGAACCCTGCAGTATACCTGAAGCCCCAAACGCGTATGATCCTTCAAATGTACGGCATAACGCTTAAAACTGTAGGTTTGTGGAGCCACAGGTACGGACAGGGTAGATTGGCTTTACGTTTGGTGCATAGGGTATCGGAATCCTAGGGGCTGTTGAAATCGACACCTAATATAGAGGCCTAAATAATTAGCAATATATTTTTTTCTTGGGGGGGGGGTCCCTATCTTTTGGATAGGGCCCCAAAGCATCCTTCCAAAGCCAGCGACAAGGCGAGCGGCCTTTCTGGAGGACCTTTCTGTAAGTAAAACCAGTTGAAAATACTAACATTTAGAGGCCTTTCCAGAACGGCATAAAGCCCTCAACGACCTCCCCATCGCAAGAAGTGTTGTGTAGAGGGTGACAAGCGCACCCTAAACCCTAAACCCTAAACTCTCAGACCCTAGCTCCAACACGAACCCTAAGGCTCAAAATAGCCCAAAAGCCTTGTAGAGTATGGTGTTTGAGCCAAAAAGCCTTAAAATACAGTTGATCTTATAAATCCTGCATTACCCATAATAAGGATTATACCATAATTCCCATAGTTTAGGATCCTTAAGGTAATGCAGGATTTCTATCATCAACAGTATGAGTCCTTAGAGCCTTAGGGTGAATGCTAAGCAGCCTGCAGGTTGATGCTATGCGTGGTTTCTGGTGGCAAGACCGTACTAAATCGAAAATTCAATCTTGCAAATCTCTAGGATCAGTTGAACGGATCTACGCATGTTCATCCGTTGCTCATGCTGATGACACTTGGACGGCAGTCAAGAAATACACAGGCGATGTGATGAAGGTACACGCGAAAAAAGAAGACGTTATGATGACGAATGCGATCTTGTGGTACTGAAGAAGATCATGGACACTCAACGCTGATTATGTAATACGCGATGTTCAGAAGAAGTAACAACAAGATGTGTCTAGCATTCTGTTAGTGGTGGACGATTTCGCCAACGATCCGAAATGTGTAAGATACTAATACTAAAGAGTTTGTTGCGTGGGTTGCTCATGCGAGGTCGCCATAGTGCCATTTCAAGCATTTTATCAGTCTGTCGGCGCGAATCCTCGGACTCGGCGCATCCGCATTACTCATATTCAATTTCAAGAAGATGAACGAAGTCAATGCATTTTGAAAAGCATAACCCTGGAATACTTGAAAGGTTCATAGTGTCATTGTGGATTTACAGAGCAGACTAATAACTCTTGAACCATTACGTGCAGTTATAACTGGTATTATAAGATTATCGCACGAAATGGTAGTTAACAAATCACAACGAAGCAGGAACACGGTGCCCTAACTGAGATGCCGTATTTGATAGGGCTGGTAGCAAAGGTTCTTGTTCCGATTGTAGGCGATCACTTAGACAGATTTAAAGTGGAACAGAAAAGAATGACAGGACATTGTAGGACGCCGAAACAGGAGGAACACATTCACCGGCGAGACCAGAAATTCTAATGATGATGCTTTTTGATGCAGAGAGAAGACTTTGCATGAGTACAAATGGACGGAGTTCTACCAAGAGCATAAGAAACACTTCGCGCAAATCACCAAGCAATAACTCAAGCACATCAGCAACAAACAAATCACGAACCTAAGGAGAGGATGGAGCAAGCATATTCGGGAGCGGAAGAATGAGAGTGTATACAAGCTTTGCAGGCGGTCTGACCTCAGGTCATGATCTGACCGCATCTGCAATTGGTGGACTAGCAGAACCAGCATTAGAGTGGATTGGATGATGCAGCCATGAGAAGAATGGCTACCGCAACCCCACCCGCTGCTTGAATAGGAAGCACCCCGAGCGCCACCCAGTAACCCCTGGACTACACCAAATTCAGCGAATGATTATAGCAGCTATAGCAGCAGATCTAAAGCCTTGCATCGTTTTGCAACCGGACCAACCCAATGTGGGTGCTGGTGCTGCCTGCAAGGTTCCGCGAGACGAACGGGACAAGAAGGACAACCACAAAGAACACCACGAGCAAGACAAGCAACCTTCAAATCAAGTCCCAGAGAAGATACGGAAACCACGAGGCGAACTCAACATGCGACCAATGATCAACCCCAGTATAGTAGGCATACAGAAATCAGCAGAAACAACTGAGGATGCAAACAACAAAACTTCAATACCCACAGCCACTTAAAGAAAATATGAAGTCTCTTTTAAGTTGGTTTCACCTGCTGGTGTTCCTGCTGGGAAGAAAGACGGACTGAAGGGATTGCAACAGTTGTAGAAGCAGACACTTCTTAACACATAAACATGCATAACCTATCTAAACGAAAACAGTGATAAGGAAAGTCTTTCAACCTTCGGGTCCAACAAGAGGGAAAACCAGCAATAGACAATGAGTAGACAGTTTCTTTCGGGGCTTTTGGATACAGCGACTTCACCAACACATAAGGATTACGCAATCAACACAACGATACTTAACCCGACATAAGAAAAAGCGACAATTGTAAGTCTCTTAAAACTGCGGCTTCTATGCTAGATAGTATATTCTGTGGAAGAAGCCAACCCTTGAGACGTCCGTAAGGGACACCACAAACAGCTCGCAAGGTTCAATATCAAACTTCAAAAGTAAGCTGACGCTCATGGTTTAACTCATTGTGGAATTGGTTCGGAAGCGACTGGCAGAGCCCAGTGGATGCGAAGTTGGCACACTGGCTTAGTTCGTGCGTACAGCATGCGGCAGAGCCGGATCATTCACAAAATCCAGGGTTTATCAGTCATGCAAGTTTGAGCACATACCAAAAGACAACATGCACAGGCCTGACATGAGCTTTTCGTTTGGCGAATCCGCGAGCGGCGTCACCTTGCCAATGCAATACTATGGAAGCAGATGGAAGCCCCTTTGGGCTGACATGTGCGACATGACGCAGAGTCAGTCGCAAGCTCCTAGAGCCGCTCTCTAAGTCCCAGTGAACCAGTTGCTTCAAGAGCCGCTGCGGCAAACAACACTGCTCTTCCAAGCAAGGCGCCTCTGTGGGAAGAGCCAGGCCAACCAAATCGATGTGCGGGTTGAGCTCCGCGAAATGCAAGTTAGCAGGAACTTCGCCGTTCTTCAGGCAGGCAATCACCTGCAAGTCCAATCGCAAAATAGCTTCTGGGCCAAGATCAAGGTAACCTGAAAGGGCAGGAAGCATTTGCCCTGCCTTAGCAGCACCCGCGAACCCAGCAGCAGCCTAGCACAGCGGATCCCGTGACTCCATGTCTGCAGGCCGAGGGCATTTAGCCTCGAGGTGCCCAAGATTGGTCTTCCCTGCAGCCAACCACAGCGGATCCTAGCAGAATGTTTCAGTTTGGAGCTCCTCTGTTGTGAGGGTTCGATGTGCCTCGGCTTTGGAGGTCCCCAGAACAGCTGCCAGGGCTCCTGCCTCCAAAAAACACAGAAACGAGGAACAGACTCCCAACTTGGCAGCCCGTATTGTCTTGTCCCATCCTCGATGGGATCGCCGAGCGCCGTTCCAGTGCCATGGCATTCCACCATACCCACGGCAACTGCAGGCACGCATGCCATCCTTCGGCGGGTTTTGCCACCATGTGCTCATGAAACGATGAACCTTGAGTGCACCACGACAAAGCATCCAATATGACCTCAGCTTCTTCTCAATTCCAACTTGAATGCTGACTGAGTGAAACCTTGGGGTGCCAAAGATGTGGATCGAGGAGGCAGTATCAGCTAAACCACGGTAAGAAGGAGATCTGTTCACAGGAGAAAAAATGTATTTTGGCTGGCCAGATATTCTTGGCCAGCGAAACTCTTCAGTCAGACAGTCAATGCGCGATTCGGAAATGAAGTTAAATGCGTGTAGTTCAATTTTCAGATGCTTACAGCTCAAAAGCATGACATACCTGAACCTGCCCTCAGAAGGATGGAACAGGCACCGGCACAACCAACAGAAAAGGCTCATGCTGCGCAAAATTGACCTTTGTGGCCACCGATGCACTCACACGCTTGCACTGCTCTTAGATTGTAGCATCTTGCTGTGAATGTCGGTTGGGTGCCGTGAGCGTTGCACTTCGCCCATCCTGGCAAGCATATGCTTGGGGCGAGAGACAGGGGAACAAATAGTCAGAGAGCGTGAGAGGGGGAATCAGAGAGAGAGAGAGAGAGAGAGAGAGAGATCCACCAGACCCAGAGCGAGAGAAGGACGCGCACGAGATCGCAAGAGGGTGGTCGTACATTGGCATGAGTGGCCTGGTTGATCGCAGCGGCGCAAAGGAACACCTTGATTTATAGACTTTGACGCACTTAGTGCTGAGTCCCCAAAGAGCCAAGATCCAAGCCGTGCCTGTCCAGGATGCATGCTCACCTGTTGTGAGCACAGCAGCCTGCCGCACCACAGGCTCCACTTCACATCGGCTGATCGGCAAGTGACTGACGAAGTTCATTTCACTGCGCTGAGTCTGAGACTCCGCTGCCTTCGCCCCTGGGGCCAGACTGACTTGTGTTGTGCTTTGCTAGGGGGTGTCATATCAAAGGCTCGCTCGACACTTCTCCAACTGCTTACATCCCTGCACTAAGAAGTCAAAACAAGAGATTCTCGAATCGATGCAGATGTACAGACACTTGCAAACCCTCTTGGACACACAAGCAGGCAGCTACATCAGCTATACGTGTACATAATATACATTTCCAGAAACCTATGTACAGAGACATAAACGTTGACATCGACACATAGAAATCCGCATCCACATACAAATTCATATGCTGCATACTTACATGCATGCATGCATGCATGCATGCATGCACCAACAAAACACAATACATATCAAGGCGAGATAAGGCGAGACAAGACATACACATATATACACATAAAACACAAGGCAATATTACACTGCGATCCACTGTGCAATAATAAAGACATGCATACAATACATACATACGTACACACACACACATACACAGACACACACATACATACA